AAGCTCTGCCTCCTGGGTTCATGCCGTTCTCCTGCCTCAGCCTCCCGAGTAGCTGGGACTACAGGCACCCGCCACCATGCCTGGCTAATTTTTTGTAATTTTAGTAGAGACAGGGTTTCACTGTGTTAGCCAGGATGGTCTCGATCTCCTGACCTCATGATTTGCCCGCCTTGGCCTCCCAAAGTGCCGGAATTACAGGCGTGAGCCATTGTGCCCAGCCAGTCAATTGATTTTCAACAAGGGTGTCAAAGCCAACAGAGTGGAAATAACAGTCTCTTCAACAAATGGTCCTGGGAAAACTGGAAGGTCACAGGCAAAAGAATGAAGCTAGCTCATTACCTTATACCATATACAAAAATTCAAAGTGGGTCAATGATCTAAATTTATGAGCAAAAACTACTAGTCTCTTAGAAGTAACCATAGGTGAAAATCTTCATGACCTTGAATTAGGCATGTGGTGTTTTAAGTTTGACACCAAAAGCAGGCAAAAGAGAAAAAATAGCTAAATTGGACATTGTCAAAATTAGAAACTGTTGTATATCAAAGGCATTTCTCCCACAGAATGAGAGAAAACGTTTGCAAATCACATATCTGATGAGGGATCAATATCCAGAAGACACAGCAAACTCCTGTAACTTAACAACAACAAAACAAACAACCCACTCCAAAAATGGGCAAATAACTTGAATAGCCATTTTCCAAAGAAGATACACAAATGGCCAATAAACACATAAAAAGATGCTCAACATTGTTAGTCATTAGGCAAATGCAAATTACCACTATTCACACTTCTTAGAATGGCTTTTTTTTTTTTGAGACGGAGTCTCGCTTTGTCACCCAGGCTGGAGTGCAGTGGCTGGATCTCGGCTCACTGCAAGCTCCACCTCCTGGGTTCACGCCATTCTCCTGCCTCAGCCTCCCGAGTAGCTGGGACTACAGGTGCCCGCCACCAAGCCCGGCTAATTTTTTATATTTGTAGTAGAGATGGGGTTTCACTGTGAAACCCCGTCTATGTGTTAGCCGGGTGGTCTCGATCTCCTGACCTCGTGATCCGCCCCCCTCGGCCTCCCAAAGTGCTGAGATTACAGGCGTGAGCCACCATGTCCAGCCTTTTTTTTCTTTTTTTGAGACAAAGTCTTGCTCTGTCACCCAGGCTGGAGCGCAATGGTGCGATCTCAGATTACTGCAACCTCCACCTCCCAAGTTCAAGCAATTCTCCTGCCTTGGCCTCCCTAGTAGCTGAGATTATAGTGCCTGCCACCAAACCTGGCTAATTTTTGCAGTTTTAGTAGAGATGGGGTTTTGCCATGTGGGCCAGGCTGGTCACGAACTCCTGACCTCAGGTGATCTACCCACCTTGGCCTCTGAAAGTGCTGGGATTACAGGTGTGAGCCACCATGCCCAGTCAGAATGGCTATTTTTTTTTTTTTTAAGAAAAATAACAAATGTTGGTGAGGATGAAGGAAACTGAGACCCTCATACATTGCTGGTGGGAAGGTAAGATGGTGCAGCTGCTACATGTCCATTTTGTGCTGTTATAATGGAATATTACAGGCTAGGTAATTTGTAATAAATTGAAATTTATTGGCTCACAATTCTGAAGGCTGGGAAGTCCAAGACTGAGGGGTCAGCATCTGGCAAGAACCTTCTTGCTGTATCATCATCCCATGGCAGAAAGCAGAAATGCCATAGAGGGTGAAAGACAGAGCAAGGGAGGGCCGAACTTGTCCTTTTACATGGTATGCACTCTTGTGATAACTAACCCATTCCTGTGATAACCATATCTTGATGAGGGCACAATTTCCATGACCCAAACCCCTCCACTAGGCCCTACCTCCTAACATGACCACCACATTGGGAATCAAATTTCCAGCACATGAAATTTGAGGACACATTTAAACCATAGCAATGGGTATAGAGTTTCTGTTTCAGTTGATTTTTTTTTTTTTTTTTTTTTTGAGATGGAGTCTTGCCCTGTTACCCAGGCTGGAATGCAGTAGTGCAATATCAGCTCACTGCAACCTCTGCCTCCCTGGTTCAAGCAATTCTCTTGCCTTAGCCTCCTCAGTAGCTGGGATTACAGGTATGCACTACCATGCCTGGCGAATTTTTTGTATTTTTAGTAGAGATGGGGTTTCACCATGTTGGTCAGGCTGGTCTCGAACTCCTGACCTCATGCTCTGCCTGCCTCAGCCTCCCAAAGTGCTGGGATTACAGACGTGAACCACCGTGCCTGCCTGTTTCAGTTGATTTAAAAGTTCTGGGCCAGGCGCGGTGGCTGTAATCCCAGCACTTTGGGAGGCCGAGATGGGCAGATCACGAGGTCAGGAGATCAAGACCATCCTGGCTAACACGGTGAAACCCCGTCTCTACTAAAAATACAAAAATTAGCCAGGCGCGGTGGCGGGCACCTGTAGTCCCAGCTACTCAGGAGGCTGAGGCAGGAGAATGGCGTGAACCCGGGAGGCGGAGCTTGCAGTGAGTGGAGATCACGCCACTGCACTCCAGCCTGGGCGACAGAGCGAGACTCTGTCTCAAAAAAAAAAAAAAAAAAAAGAAGTTCTGGAGGCCAAGTGCCTCAATCTCAGCACTTTGGGAGGCCAAGGCAAGTGGATTGCTTGAGGTTAGAAGTTCAAGACCAGCCTGACCAACATGGTGAAACCCCGTCTCTACTAAAAATTAAAAAAAAATTAGCTGGGTGTGGTGGCATGAGCCTGTAGTTCCAGCTAGTTGGGAGCCTGAGGTGGGAGGACATTTGAGCCTGGTGAGCAGAGGTTGCAGTGAGCTGAGACTGCACTACTGCACTCCAGCCTGGAGTTCTGAAAATAAATAGTGGTGATGTTTACACAAAACTGTGAATGTTTTGAATGCCCTTAAATCGTACACTTAAATAGAGTGAAAATGGGCCAGGCATTGTGGCTCATGCCTGTAATTTCAACAATTTGCAAGGCTTGGGGCCTCACTTGAGGCCAGGAGTTCCAGACCAGCCTAGGCAACATAGTGAGACCCTGTTCCTACAAAAACTTAAAAAATGAGCTGAGTGTGGTGACGCATGCCTGTAGTCTCAGCCTTGGGAGGCTGAGGCGGGAGGATCGCTTGAGGCCAAGAGTTCAAGGCTTCAGTGAGCTATGATTATACCACAGCAGTTCAGCTTGGGTGACACAGCGAGACTTTGTCTCTAAATAAATAGTAGAAATGGAAATTTTATGTTAAGTGTATTTTACCACCACCACCACAACCACAGAGCTAAAGCCAAGGCCCAGGGAAGTCCTCTTTAGCAGAGAGCTGAGACGGAGGAAAGGGTTCTGAACCACAGCTGTCGCTGAAGGAAGCTGTGCAAATGCCAGTGAAGTCTCTCCTGAGGGTGCCTGGGCTGTGCGTCGGGAGCGAAGGTTGAGGGTCGCCTTAGGTGTGAGAAGGAGCGACCGGGACAGTGGCACTGATGCTTCTCCCCGGGTTAGGAGGCATTCGGATCACAGAGCGATGCCTGTTCGTTCCTGCTTGCGAGGGAGCAGATCTCTCAACACCCGGTGGGTCTCCTTTCCGGCAGCTGTCCGTGTCAGGAGCGCTGGGCTTGCTTCTCCCCATGGAGCCATCACAGAGGCCTCGGGCAGTCTGCATAGACCACTGCCTGGCAGGTGACCAGGAGGGGACGAATGAGCAGATGCAGGTAGCACTTGCAGTCCCCCTCGCTGTGCCCTCAGCACCTGCTGTCTAGGAGGCAAAGGCCTTGTTCTCGGCCTCCCAGGTGACCCCGGTGTCTCTGAACGCGGCCCCGTATGTGTAGGAGGCGGGTGATTGCACCTGAAGATGGGAGAAGAGTTGGGGATTTGGGAAGCTCCCATCACCCCTCAAGAGCCCACTGACCGGCCCAGCACCCGCCAGGTGAGCCTTGGCATTGGAGGCCACAGCTCAACTCTGCAGTTCCCTCTGGGCAACATTTCCAGGGACTCGTAGGTCCCCATGGTCCTCGAGGAGGGGTGGTGAGAGCAGCTCCTCATTGTCCTGGTGACCCTCATGGTTCATTTTCTGGCGTCTCTGTGGTGAGCTCCTGTTACGTTGAGCGAGTGAAAACCACCGAGAACCAGCAGCCCCAGAAATGCACCGAGAATAAATATAGGATGAGTGGGGTTTGTGAGGACTGTTTTCTGTGTCTTAGCAGGGACAGCCTGGAAGGGAAGGTAAAACTTCTGCTTCCCAGGAAAGCCAGAAGCCTGAGAACTTAAAAGGGAAAGAGAACTTAATACGTTTCAAAAATGTAACCCTCATGGATTAGCAACAGTTTTATAAACAGAGAGCTTTCCCAGCTTATAGAATCTGTTCTGATTCATCTGTGCCCCCACAAACTTTACCCTATTTTTTTTTTTTTTTTGAGACGGAGTCTCGCTCTGTCACCCAGGCTGGAGTGCAGTGGCCAGATCTCAGCTCACTGCAAGCTCCGCCTCCCGGGTTCCCGCCATTCTCCTGCTCAGCCTCCCGAGTAGCTGGACCACAGGCGCCGCCACCTCGCCCGGCTATTTTTGTGTTTTTAGTAGAGACGGGGTTTCGCCGTTAGCCAGGATGGTCTCGATCTCCTGACCTCGTGATCCACCCGTCTCGGCCTCCCAAAGTGCTGGGATTACAGCTTGAGCCACCGCGCCCGGCCACTTTACCCTATTTTTAAGAGTCATCTTGCGAACAGCCTCAAAGGTGCATCAGAATGACAACGGAAACAAGAAGAATTATTAGGGCACGAAGTATCGGGAGATCTGAGGCCATATATCTATAGTGCACAGTGTTTACTGCCCAGGATATCTCAGACAATCACAGTTTTCTGGAAATGATTTCGGTAGTTGGAGTTTTCCTTCCCAAGACAAGGCATTTTAGGGAATAGCGTCCTATATCCGTGGAGTTTGCGTCCTGTAGTCACTATATTCATAGACTGCTTTAGGTACTTACAGAGCAAAAGATATCAGTCCTGCATTGCTGCCATTAACGTGCCTTTGTTTGCTTCACTGGAGATGAAATTCTACTGCAGGTGTTTCCCAAGGTTCCATATGACCCGTCATTTAGCGAAACAACAGCAGTCCGATCCATTACAAAGACAGACATGAGAAAAGGCAAGTGTATGCCGTTAACACAGTAAGTGCACACATTTCTGTAGGCCTATGTGTTGTCTTCAATGTGCTGTTATCATCCTAGCAGTCTCTAAACCAACTGCTGCTGGCGGGGCAAAGCCAAATGGAGATAGGAAGGAAACAACTGTCTGAAATCCTCTCTGTAACCTTCCCCCCGCTGTGGAGTCTGTGCTCCGAAGCGTGACTATCCCTGTATTTTGGGGTGATCCTTGATGTGCAGTGTTAGGCAGGTTCTGCCACCCAGGAGGTATTCAGAGGACAGAAACCTGATCTGCAAGCGGGGTTCCCCGTTCCCGACAGCAGGAGCCCCTAGCAGCATTATAACTTTCAACCCAACACACGAATCCTAAGTGCACAATGTGGTTTGAGAGGGTTAGTGCAGTCATTAATACCCCATTCAGTGGATGATAAAACAAGACTAAAAAATGATTAGCTTAGGCACATCCAGAGAAATGACACATGTGAAGAGCGCACTCTTTCCCAAAAAGCAGCTTCATATTAGGGGAAACATTTAGCACGTTGGGAATTAAGATAGGTATCTGCTCACAATAATAAGGATAGAATAGTGTACTGGAAATCTGCCAGCTGTGGGTGCAAGTGCCCCAGGCAGGGAGGGGGAATGGGCACTGTGTTGGTATTCTGCAGATGTTTGCGCCCCAGTTCCTGAGGGTAGTCTCCGTGAGGGTAGTCAGGACAACTGCCTGGGTACCTCTGCAGTCGGCAGTGAGGCGGCCCCGCTCTCTACATCAAGGCATTCACTTTCAAACACACATTTGCTCTTACAAGTTGAGTTCTATATTAGCATTTCAACTTAGAAATGGAAAATAAGATCAGGCGCGGTGGCTCACGCCTGTAATCCCAGCACTTTGGGAGGCCGAGGTGAGTGGATCACTTGAGGTCAGGAGTTCGAGACCAGCCTGACCAACATGGCGAAACCCTGTCTCTACTAAACATACAAAAAATTAACTGGGCGTGGTGGCACATGCCTGTAGACCCAGCTACTTGGGAGGCTGAGACACGAGAATCACTTGGACCCGGGTGGTGGAGTCGTGCCACTGCACTCCAGCCTGGGTGACAGCGAAACTCTGTCTCAAAAGACAAAAAAACAAAAAACGGAATACAAAATATGGGCCCAAGGTGCTTGCAAATGTGTACTGATGAAGATCCTTTTTCTTCTTTTTTTTTTTTTTTTTTTATGTGTCTTATCAAAGCAACCAGTGTTGCTTGGAATTCTCCTGGACCAGAATATTTCCTTGGCAGTGTGGACAAAATTCCCGATAAAGGTAAATGCAAATGCATAACATTGGAATTGAGGGTCGATAAGTCGTCGTTCTTCTTCCCCCCCCCTTTTTTTTTTCCATGGAGTCTCGCTCTGTCACCCAGGCAGCACAATCTCGGCTCACCGCAAGCTACGCCTCCCAGGTTCAGGCCATTCTCCTGCCTCAGCCTTCCAAGTAGCTGTGACTATGGGCGCCCGCCACCGCGCCTGGCTAGTTTTTTGTATTTTTTAGTAGAGACAGGTTTTCATCGTGTTCGCCAGGATGGTGTCGATCTCCTGACCTCGTGACCCGCCCGCCTCGGCCTCCCAAGGTGCTGGGATTACAGGTGCGCTGGGATTGCAGGCGTGCAGGGATTACAGGCACGCTGGGATTACAAGCATGCAGGGATTACAGGCGCGCTGGGATTACAGGTGTGCTCGGATTACAGACGTGCAGGGATTACAGGCGTGAGCCACTGGGCGGCCCCTCTTTTTCCTCTTACCTGACCTGAGTTCAGAGCTAAGGGTCTGGCAGATGGTGCTCAGACTCTCTTGTAGAGAAACACCTGTACTTGGCTGCACAACGTGGGTGCTTCACCCTGAATTAGAAAGAGTTCCCCAATCACTGGTAAGGTTTTGGATACCCATGGTTTCCCCAGATCCCCCCCTGTGCGAGTCTGCTTCTGTGATATGTACAGCAAGGAGGAGCAGATCAGAATGTTTATTCTCTGCAGGCAGACAGATGCTAGCCAGGAGGGAGAGAGAGCAGGCCACAGACAGCTGGTGCCTCCTCCCAAACTGACCTGGGCAGGTCCTTTCCCCTCTGGGGTGGTGGGGCTGGGCAGGGGCTGAGCACATTCGGGAGGTGCTGCCCCAGAGGGATTCTCCCCTTCTCCTCAGGAGTGTGGGAAAGCGCTGCCTCCAGCCAGGAGCAGAGGTTCATCTGAGCGATCTGATCATGCTGGAGGGAGACTGGCTCCGAAGACAGGATGAGCAGCTAGAATCCATGAAGCATTTCTCCCCTAGAAAGACTTAAAAGATTTAAAAGAAAAAAACCAGGCCAAATAGGTCACTGTCCGAGCTGGGAAAAACGTGGTCTTCCCTGGGTGCAGGATTATGAACCTCGCCAGGGGTTCCCGGGCCGCACCGTGCATCAGCCAGAGGTAGGGGCTAGGGAATGGGAAGAGCTGATTAAAAATCCTTATTCCTGGCCGGGCGATGTGGCTCCCCTGAAGTCAGGAGTTCGAGACCAGCTACTTGGGAGGCTGAGGCAGGATAATCTCTTGAACCCGGTAGGCAGAGGTTGCGGAGAGCCAAGATCGCGGCACAGCACTCCAGCCTGGGTGACAAGAGCGAAACTCCGTGCTGGGATTACAGGCGTGAGCCACCGCGCCTGAAAACAGTATGTTTTCATGTCTTGTCAGACTAGTTCCCCTTTTGCAGTTTTTGTTTTTTCATTGTCTTCCTGGCTATTTTTGCATGTTTGTTTTTCCATGTGAACTTTAGCATCAACTTGTCTAACTTCATCCAAAAGCTTTTGGTATTCTGATTGGCATTGCATCAAATTTATACGACAATATTCACTTTGGGAAAACAGATGTTAGGTCATCCTATGCTAGAAATGGGAATGCCTTTCCAGTTCTTCAAGTTTATTTTCAGTGTGTGTTAAAGTTTTCCTTACATAGATTTTTACATGTATCTTCTTAAGTTTATTCCTAAGTCACTTAATTTTCTATGTTGCTATTGTAAGAGAGGGGGTTTCTCTATCATTATACCTTCTACCTACTTAATGTTTGGGAATAGGAAGGCTTGCTTTTTGGATATGAATTTTATGTCCTATTGTCTTATTCAATTCTACATATACTGTTACATAGATAGTTTTACTTCTTCTTTTTTTTTTTTTTTTTTGAGATGGAGTCTCACTCTGTTGCCCAGGCTGGAGTGCAGTAGCATGATCTCAGCTCACTGCAACCTCTGCCTCCCAGGTTCAAGCGATCCTCCTGCCTCAGCCTCCTGAGAAGCTGGGACTACAAGCATGCGCCACCATGCCCAGCTAATTTTTGAATTTTTATCAGAGACAGGATTTCACCATGTTGGCCAGGCTGGCCTCCAACTCCTGACTTCAGGTGATCTGCCCTCCTTGGCCTCCCAAAGTGCTGGGATTACAGGTATGAGCCACCATGCCCAGCCAGTTTTACATCTTTACCTATTGTTATGCCTCTACCTGATTTATTTATCGTGTTTAATTGGATTGCTAATACCTCTAGGTTAATCTTGAGTGGTTGCTGGAGATACAGTGGGAATCCTGCTTTGTTCTCGCTCTTGGAGAAAATGCCTCTTGAGTTTCCTGATTAAGAGTCTGGTTATAGGACTAATATGAATAAGAGATTATCTATCTGTATATCTATCCTTCCATCTACACACATACATGTAAATATATACGGATACATATATTTATACTGAAAATGATAATCTGTCCAAAAAATACTTTTGGGTATTTTTTTCTGTTTCTATGAGTTGAGTTACTTTAGATATCTCATGTAAGTTGAATCATACAGTATTTGTCTTTTTGTGATTGGTTTAGTTCACACAGTATAATGTCCTCCAGGTTAATCCATCTTGTAGCATATGACAGAATTTCCTTTCTTTTTAAGCTGAATAATATTCTATTGTATGTATATACCATAGTTTCTTTATCCATTTATCTATTGTTGGACACTTGGGTTGCTGTCATGTCTTGGTTATTGTAAATAATGCTGCAATTGGCCGGGCGCGGTGGCTCAAGCCTGTTATCCCAGCACTTTGGGAGGCCAGGACGGGTGGATCACGAGGTCAGGAGATCAAGACCATCCTGGCTAACATGGTGAAACCCCGTCTCTACTAAAAAAATACAAAAAGCTAGCCGGGCGAGGTGGCGGGTGCCTGTAGTCCCAGCTACTCGGGAGGCTGAGGCAGGAGAATGGCGTGAACCCGGGAGGCGGAGCTTGCAGTGAGCCGAGATCCGTCCACTGCACTCCAGCCTGGGCGACAGAGGGAGACTCTGTCTCAAAAAAAAAAAAAAAAAAAAAAAAAGCTGCAATGAATATGGGTATGCAAATATCTCCAAGATCCTGTTTTCAGTTCTTTAGGATATGTATCTAGAAGTGGGATTGTGGGGTCATATGGTAAATCTATCTTTAATTTTTTGAGGAACCTCCATATGGTTTCCATAGCAGCTGCACTGTTTTACATTCCCACCAATATTTGCAAGAGTTCCCACTTCTTCACATCCTTACTAACATTTGTTATCACATATTTGCTTGAGTATTTGAAAAATCAGGAATAGGCCGGGCGCAGTGGCTCAAGCCTGTAATCCCAGCACTTTGGGAGGCCGAGACGGGCGGATCACAAGGTCAGGAGATCGAGACCATCCTGACTAACACGGTGAAACCCCGTCTCTACTAAAAAATACAAAAAAAAAAAAAAAACTAGCCGGGCGAGGTGGCGGGCGCCTGTAGTCCCAGCTACTCGGGAGGCTGAGGCAGGAGAATGGCGGGAACCCGGGAGGCGGAGCTTGCAGTGAGCCAAGATCGCGCCACTGCACTCCAGCCTGGGGGACAGAGCGAGACTCTGTCTCAAAAAAAAAAAAAAAAAAGAAAAATCAGGAATAGGTGGGTGTTGAATTTTTGGAACTAATCATATGATTCTTTTCCTTAAGTCTATTAAGATTATATATATGATAATAATGAATTTCCTAATGTCAAACCAACCTTGCATTCCTAGAATAAATTCTACTTGGTCATAGTGAGGCTTGGAGAGTCCAGTCACTGCTCAGGAATCTTGGGCTTGGGCCCAGCTTTTTCCCTGCTTCAGCACATCTGTGTTGTCACTCAGACTGGCAGGGGACTGGGAAGGAGCCTTGGGGTTCCTTTAGCCACCAAGAAAGCAGCAGGTCCTTGTATAGATATGTAGACTGAGCCATGATTTATAACTTTTAATTATTGATGGATATGGTAGGTGTTTCTCCATTTGTATTCTTTTTCAATTTTTAAAAATTATTATAGAATACACATAATATGAAATTTTACCATCTTAACCATTTTTAAGGGCACAATTCAGTGGTATTAAATATATTCATAATGTACAACCATCACCAACATTCATCTCCAGAACTCTTTTCATCTTATAAAACCAAAACTCTATATGCATTAAATAATAACCATGCATTCCCCCATCTCTGCATCCCCTGGCAACCACCGTTCTACTTTCTGTGATTTTGACTACTCTAAATATCTCACGTAAGTGCAATCATACAGTATTTGTCTTTTTGTTACTGACATTTGATTTTGCATAATGTCCTCAAGATTCATCCATGTTGTGGCATATTTCAGAATGTTCTTTCTTTTTGAAGCTGAGTAATATTCCATTGTATGTCTCTACCATGTTTTGTTTACTCACTTATCCCTTGATGGATATTTGGGTTGCTTTCACATTTTAGCCTTGTGAATAATCCTGTTATGAACATGGATGTACAAATAATTCTTTGAGACCTTGCTTTCAGTTATCTTGGGTACATACTCAGAAGTGAAATTGCTGGATGATATGGTGATTTTGGTTTTAATTTTCTGAGGAACTGCCATACTGTTTCCTATCATGGCAGTAACATATTACATTCCTACCAACAGCACACAAGGGTTTCAGTTTCTCCACATCCTTGCCAACACGTGTTATTTTCTTTTTGTTTGTTGCCCGGGCTAGAATGCAGTGGCACAATTGATCTCAGTTCACTGCAGCCTCCGCCTCCCAGTTTCAAGCGATTCTCCTGTTTCAGCCTCCCAAGTAGCTAGAACTACAGGTGTGTGCCACTGCACCCGGCTAATTTTTTATATTTTTTAGTAGAGATGGGATTTCACCATGTTGGCCAGGCTGGTCTTGAACTCCCAACCTCAGGTATTTCACCTGCCTTGGCTTCCCAAAGTGCTAGGATTATAGGTATGAGTGGCCGCACCCAGCCTATTTTCTGTTTTTTTGATAGTAGCCATCCTAATGGATATGAGGTGGTATTTCATTGTAGTTTTGATTTGCAATTCCCTAATAATTACTGATGTTGAGCATCTTTTGAAGTTCTATTTGCCATTTGTATATCTTCTTTGGGAAAATGTCTATTCAAGTTCTTTGCCTATTTTTGAATCAGTTGTTTGTATTTTTGTATTTTGTTGGGTGTCAGGAGTTCTCTCTGTAATCTGGGTATCATTCTCTTACCAGATAAACAATTTGCAAATGTTTTCTCCCATTCTGGGTGGGGTACCTTTTTATTCTGTTGACACTGTCTTTTGATGAACAAAATTTTAAAATTTGCTTAAAGTCCAATTTGTCTATTTTTTCTTTGGTGGCCTGTGCCTTTGGTATCAAACCCAAGAAATAATTTCCGAATCCAATGTCATGAAGTTTCTGCCCTCTGTTTTCCTCTAAAAGTTTTCATAGTTTTAGGCATTACTTTTAGGTCTTTGGTCCACTGTGAGTTAATTTTTGTTTATGGTGTTGGATAAGGATCTAACTTTATTATTTCGCATGTGGATATCCTGTTTTCCTAGTACCATTTGTTAACCTATTAAAATTATTGTGCTGGTTTTGCAAATGTTAGGTGTGGTCTGCCCAGGTATGTATATTACAGTGCCAAGATACCTCTGCCCCTGAATAATGTACCTTCACCCCTGAATAAGAAAATGCCCCTGAATAATTTACCTTCACCCCTGAATAATCATTGTTCAAGTAAAATTAAAAGATATGCTTGGGGAATAGAAAGCCTACTATCTAGCTTGATCTTTTGATTTCTAAAACTGTTTCTTCAGTCAATTGCTTTCACATACTTTTACTTTCAAATCTTTATTTTTCCTTCAGGAGGAACCAGGATGACATTTTTTTCTTTTCTTTTTTTTTTTTTTTTTTTTTTTTTGAGATGGAGTCTCACTCTGTCATCCAGGCTGGAGTGCAGTGGCACAATCTCCGCTCATTGCAACCTCTGCCTCCCAAGTTCAAGCGATTCTCCTGTCTCAGCCTCCCGAGTAACTGGGACTACAGGCACGCGCCACCATGCCCGGCAGTCTTGGCTAGCAAGACAGGTTTAGCAGGGTGGTTCTGGCTCAGAGTCCCTCGTGAGGTTACAGTCAAGATTCTTCCAGATTCATTCTCTCACTCAAGACCTAACTACTGATCTCTCCTACCCAGCGGAAGGTACTGTGCTGGAAGCTAGTACTCAGTGAGGCATTCTTGTCCTCCAAGAGCTCCCCACAGCTCTTAGGAGTGTCAATCGAATCAATAACTGTTAGATATAAACAGGCTAACACTGAAGGTCTTTAAAAAGTGCTTATGTTGTATTTGCACGGAGTTCTGGGAGAACAAGAGGCTGATCTCCTTAATAGGGTTTTTCCAAGTAGGAAGAGTGAGGGAAGAAGAGGGCTGAGAAGAACCCGCAGGCAGTGACAAAGCTCATGTCTGGCAGCTGAGAGGGCTGATCAGATCCATCTTCAGAGGGTGGGAGCTGCTCTCAGGCTACTCCGCAGGGACAGTAAATTCCAGACCACACTGTCTGCACCTCCTCTTTGGCAGCAGTGACCACTCAAAAAAAAAAAAAAAAAGAAAAAGAAAGAAAAGAAAAGAAAAAGGAAAAAAGGCTGGGTGCGGTGGCTCACGCCTGTAATCCCAGCACTTTGAGAGGCCGAGGCAGGTGGATCAACTGAGGTCAGGAGTTTGAGATCAGCCCGACCAACATGGTGAAACCTCATCTCTACTAAAAATACAAATATTAGCTGGGCGTGGTGGTGTATCCCTGTAATCGCAGCTACTCGGGAGGCTGAGGTAGGAAAATCGCTTGAACCTGGGAGGCGGAGCTTGCAGTGAGCCGAGATGGTGCCACTGCACTCCAGCCTGGGGGACAGAGTGAGACTCCATCTCAAAAAAAAAAAAAAAAAAAAAAAAAAAAAAAAAAATCAATGGTCAAAAACATCTCAATAGGAGGAGGAGTGGAGAAACGACCATTCTGAGAAGTGAAGTGTCTTGTAAAATGTGTGTCCAGGTCTGTGGACAGCAGCTGTAGCTGTCGATGATCTTATGTCCACTGAATGGAATGTAGCATCAGTCCTAGCAATAGCATGCTGTTAACTTGTAACCAAAGGCTCACGTCAATGTTAGAGTCTCCAAAACACAGAGAATTATGAAGATGTAAGACTTCAACTTTTCCTTGAGCACAAAGTCAAACTTTCTTGGTTCTGCACTCCTTTAAGAAGGTTTTCACCAAGCCCAGCACATGCTTGATTGGCAGCTTGGGTTGAGCCTACAGCATGGAAGGACGGGAGAATTGCTCTTGTAATGGGTGGCTGCTCCTGTCATAGTTAATAGCTGTAAAGTTGAAAAGAAGTCTGGAAATGAAACTGTGTTGGTTAAAAATTTGATAATTGTGCTTGTTTTTTCCCACAAAAAAAATAATCCAACAATTGATCAAACGCAACCCATCAAACGCAAAAGACGCCTTCAGACTCTTCACAGAACCTTAGGTAAATGAAAACTTCGTCCATACTGACGATAAGAATAGGCAGTGGCTCTTAATTCTGTCGTCTTCTGCCTCCGGTGGAGAAAGAGTGAAAATGTGTTCCCGTGTCAGGTCTACCATTGCTACAGCTCTGTGGAAGAGCAAGCCGAGCGCGCCCCCTAGTGGATAACTCGATGCTCGCCAGGGCTTTCTGTCTGCAGCTGTTAGTCTCTGGATTCCGATTTGACATGTTTCATTTCAAAAGTCAAGTTAATTATCAGTCTTATTAAAGTGGGAGTTTTCTCTCTTTTCTAAGCCAAGTTGAAGAAGGAACACATTTCTCTCTTTTTTTCAGGAATAACTAGAACTTCATGAGACGGTTATCAGACGCCCACATGGTAGTCTTAATCATATTGTGATAATTTTCTGTTATTTTATTTTATTATTTTGTTTAATTTTATTATTCTTTTGAGACAGGGTCCCGCTCTGTTATCTGGGCTGGAGTGTAGTAGTGTGATTATAGCTCTCTGCAGCCTTGATCTCCCGAGTTCAAGCCATCTGCCTATCTCAGCCTTTCTAGTAGCTGGGACTACAGGTGTGTGCCACCATGCCTGGCTAATTTTTTAGTTTTTTTAGTTTTTAGTAGACATGAGGTCTTGCTATGTTCCCCAGGCTGGCCGCAAACTCTTATTGCGACAATTCTCTCTCTCTCTGTGAACGAGGCCAAGGAAGATTTACCAAGCTCATCCAAAGTTGCCCTGCCCCCCTTCCAGCCCTTGGAGGTCTCCCATCTGGGGCTGGGGGCTCCAGCCTGCTTTGAAGTCTTCTAGGGTGTGAGATTCATTACTTCTCATCCTTTCCCATTCCCTCCTTGATAGCTCACTTTCTAACCGCTAAACAGTCCAAACAGATTTCCCTGGAGCGCCTACCCATTGGTTCTAGTTTGTTCCCCAGAGCTTCTCCAAACATCTCTCAGCCTCTTCCCAGGCCATCCTGCATCTGGCAAAGACAGGCAGGCCATGCTGGCCTCCCAATTTTCTCCAAGCTAAACTCAGGCCCTTTGACAGGTCCCATATGCCAACGAGTCAGGCACCAAAGGGCAAAGCTAGGATGCAAATATTTCTCATTTTCTTTTCTTTTTTCTTTTCTTTTTTTTTTTTGAAACAGTGTCTTGCTCTGTCCTCCAGGCTGGAGTGCAGTGGCGCGATCTCCGCTCACTGCAAGCTCCGCCTCCCGGGTTCACGCCATTCTCCTGCCTCAGCCTCCTGAGTAGCTGGGACTACAGGCGCCCGCCACTGCGCCCGGCTAATTTTTTGTATTTTTAGTAGAGACGGGGTTTCACTGTGGTCTCGATCTCCTGACCTTGTGATCCGCCCGCCTCGGCCTCCCAAAGTGCTGGGATTACAGGCTTGAGCCACCGCGCCCGGCCTTCGACTGTCTTCTTTCTATTAAACTCTTCTGCAATCCGTCTACCAATACCTGAGTATTTCAGTGTGGTTAATTTTCCTCTCTTGTCCTTGCAACTCAAGAAAATTTTTATAGTACTTTGTGGTTTCAAAATTATTTTCATGAACATTATACAATCTGTGAGGTAGATCTTACTATCTCTATTTTATGCAAGTGGAGAAGTAGGTTGGGGCTTAGAGAGGTTCTCACTTGGGTCCTCTAAGCGTGGTCCTCTACCCACAGAAGCAGCATCTTTCAGGATCTGTGAGACATGCACATTCCCAGGCCTACCCCAGACCTACGGAATCAGAAACTCTGGGGTGGGGCCTGGGAATCTGTGTTTTCAAAAGCCCTCCCAGTGTGATTCAGATGCACACTTAAGTGTAAGAAATGCTGCCTCAGCTGTGGGTGGGTTGCCCAGGAATTTGTTAGATTTTTTAAAAAGCAAACAGAAACAAAAAAACACCAAAACGCTGAGGTTCTGTAGGCTTTATTTAGACTTTCCCCCCAAATCCTCCCTAACTCCTCACTTTGAGTCTAGAAGAAGCTACTTTTATCATAAATGCTGAAGTAATCACAGGCCGTGGTTGTTTGTAGATGAACACATTTTCTCTTTTGTAGATCACCTTTCAGAGGAGAAGAGGTTTAAAGAATCCTCTCTGTCCGACAGGGATTTAAGAGAGCAGTTAACTACTGTAGATAAAGAAACACTTCAAGGGGCAGCTAAACCAGGTGGGAACCTATATGGTATAAACCAAGTATGATGCTTAAATACAGACAACTTCTGAATGTGTCTTTTGCCTTTCATGGTATTTTAACTGACACCTTTAGTTCACCCACAAAAGTGAAATAAATCTGCCGTGAATACAATCTGCAGTTAAAATTTATGAATTAAACCAACTCCAGAGGCTGGGCATGGTGGCTCACGCCTGTAATCCCAGCACTTTGGGAGGTCAAGGTAGGCGGATCACCTGAGGCCAGGAGTTCGAGACTACCCTGGCCAACATGGTAAAACCCCGTCTCTACTAAAAATACAAAAGAAAAAATTAGCTGGGCGTGGTGGCAGGTGCCTGTAATCCCAGCTACTCGGGAGGCTGAGGCAGTTCAAGAATCACTTGAACCCCGGAGGTGGAGGCTGCAGTAAGCTGAGATCGCACCAGTGCACTCCAGCCTGGGCAATAAGAGCGAGACTCCATCTAAAAAACAACAAACAAACAAACAACCGAACTCCAGGAATTTCACCACTCTTCCAAAAAGATGCTACTTTTATATTGTTTCTGCACAGCCAGGGCTTCACCCCTGCTCATCCCTGTGCCCAGACCTGTTTAGAGTGGGCAGAAACTTACCCATGCTGGCACCAAGCGCAGTACACCCCTCCACACTGCCACTCCCTGTCAAAATTATACCTGGTTGTCACTTCCTAATGCTTAGAAACTAAATGCCGAATTATTGCAGCAGAGCCTTTGAGCTGCTGGACACGCTGCCCCTTGGCATAGCAGAGCTGAAGGTGGGAGGCTGGACATGCCCTATTTTCTCCCCATCACCAAGAAGACCCTTGCTGAGCACTCCCCGTGTCTACATCACCAGCTGCCCTGGACAGCTCTCCACAGGAAACCAGCCGATACCTGGGATCCTACCTCCATGCCCGATTTCCCTGATGTCGTTTTCTTTTTTGGTCACATTATAAATGGATGCTGATGTGGGCTGAGATCTCCTTGCTTTGAGATCTAGCTAAGACTGCCGTGTTTTCCCCAGCCCGTGCTCAGCGGTATTCCCATCCACTCTCACACTTTCTGTAAGTCCTCAGAGGGGCTCAGGAGTTCAGGATCATCCGTGGCGTTGTGTTTGCCTCGTGCTGGTGCAGACGTGAGGTCCCCCAAACCTACACCCACGAGGTGGACTGTGTATGCAGTACCCCTTCCTGAGGCCAGGGGGCAGAGGAGGGGCAGCAGAGAAGAGGTTCTATCACTGCCTATGAAAAGCTGCAAACGGAATATTTGTCTCCATTGTTCTTCAAAGCCTTTGCAGTAGGATTTCTCAACCTCCTCTAGTGCCCCCGCCTCCTGTCACCCACCTGAGCTCTCCTCTGTTCTTCTCTTTACCTCTTACAAACTGGTCTGTGGAACTTTATTTCTGGTTGCTTTGTTGCGTGCCAGCCCATACCCTCAGTGTCTCATCTCCACCTCCCAAAAGCATCTCATCTTATCGCCAAATAGCAGATGAATGCATTTCCCCAAACAGCCAGTTCCTTCCCAAGAGGACTTCTGGAACCGGTGGCTAAGACGCCAAGGTTTTTATTCTGTAATGAATGGAATGAACAGGTGTCCCTTGCAGGTTTCGTCCTGGTGGTGGGGGGCCCAGCGGGGATCTCTGTTCACTCTGCGCTGTGTCTTCTCATTTAGATGCTCACTTTAGGACTATGCCCTGCAGGCAGCTTCTGCATTTCCTGCAGAGGAACACCATCATTGCCGCCATCTCAGGGGCGGTCATCCTCACGGCCACTGTGCTGTTGCTGCTTGGTTTGGCCTCATACATCAGGAAGAAACGACCATCGTGAGTAGTGCCGGCATGGCCTTCCTTCCAAGAACCTGCGGGTGTTTGAACTCACGCTGCCCCCAGGGCTTCCTGCTGATCCGGTTTAGGAGGAGGGCGGAAGCTGCAACCCTGGTCGTGCTTCGGCATCCCCTGGCCTGCTCTGTCAAAGCACACAGGACCTGGGCCATGGGTTTTAGGCACAGCCTGGGTGATTCTGATGCACAGCCAGGTTTGGGGATCCCTGGGTGGGCCAGGGTTGCCTCTCAAGGCCACTGCAGTTAGGCCAGACCTGTCCCCATATTGAGGGCTCTGGCTGAAAGATTGGTAAATAGAAATATGGATTTACAAAAGAAAGGAAAAACACAAATCTAAGGGGGCGAGGAGGGCTGAAGCCACAAAGGAGAGTGAGAGCAGGGCTGATATCAGCTCATTCACACTGACACAGCTGCCCTGCTTGTTAGAATACTGAAAGCCTTCCCTGAGCTTCCCACTGACCTCCTGATCTTCTCTGTGCTCCTGCAAATGAAGGGTTAGTGCCTGGCATAGCCGTGGCCCTCCAAGGCTCTGCTTCAGTGGTGGTCATTTTGACCAGTCAGTGCCTGTCTACACCAGTTGTTAAATATTTTGGTTAGGCCTCTAGATGAGGGAGCTCAGGCACAGAGGCACTCACCATGAGCAGGCACTAGAAAGCAAATGGTTTGCACGGTGATGTGTATGCATAGCTGCATTTTGAGATTATGTGCTTCTTGCTGCATCCCCGGGGACACGTATTCCTGACCGCAGAAGGAAGAGCAGCTCCCCATAGTCCCTCAGGTCCTGCCCGACACCGGGCTGAACGCTCAGCTTGCCCCTAGAGCAATGGGGTGGAGGCGTGTGATGAGGGGAAGTGTCCGTCCCCACCGCTACCCACCGTCTGACTCCAGAGGTAGCAGGGTTTGAATTTTCCCACAAGAGTGGCATTGCTTTTCCTCCATGCCAAGGTTCCTGGGACTGGTGATCCATTCAGGCCACCTCCCCCCATCCCCACCTCCAGCATCCTCTTCCTACCAAGGCTCATCCATTGGACCTGCCATTTTCCCTCCATGCCCCTTGAGATGCCAGCAGAAAGTGGTTAGAACTGTGGCCCCATCCCACAGGGACCAGTCAAAGCTGTGGATGGCCTGAGTTAGTTAAGAGAAAGTGGGGGGAAGAGAGTTTCCCAGAGGCTCTGTGCTGCCCAGAGGTAAAAAGAATTTCACAGATGACAAACCCTACTGATGGGAAACAGAATCCTCACCCTGGGAAGCGCCAGCCTCCACCACTGCCCAGCGAGTAGACGGCAGGAGCTCCTGTGCACTGAGCTGAGCACTACGGTTTTTATTGTTTTGTTTTAGATCTCCTCCGGCAAACACGACATATAATATTTTTATAATGAATGGAAAGACATGGTGGCAAAATTCTGAAGAAAAAAATTTCACAAAATATACAAAAAAAGAGAAACAGTTGAAGAGCAGCTCCTGTGTCTAAGCCAGGTTGCGGGGCAGTCAAACCAGGACTTGAAACCACGATGCGAGGACATTTCTCCATCCACACACCACAGGGAGGCAATTCCATTTCTGCCCGGGGAGGTGTATTCTACAAAAATGTCTGCTTCCCGTCCCAATTTGAATGGACCAAGAAAAACTGCTTTGCCACAGGACACCTGTGGCAACATGGCACTGATGGCCAGCGTCGGCGAACCCAACAGACTATGGACTTATCATTTAATAAAGCAATGATTCATTTATTCAGTCATTCATGGAACAGATATTAATAGACCACCTCACATGCTGACAATATCAAAATACAATGAGGAAACTTAAGAGTGACCCAGATATGCATTCTGTCCCAAGCAAGATCATAGTCCAGGGTGTGAACACAACCACACTAAACAGCTTTTATGGGAGGTGGGAGTACAGAAAGTTTTGTATCTACAAAGAAACTGCTAAGAATTGTGGAAGCTCCCCACGAGGTGATTTCCTGCTTGCATGACCAGGAAGAAGAAATGGGGTAATTGAGAGTGTCATGAAGTGGGGTTATTTATTTATTTATTGAGTTGGAGTCTCGCTCTGTCACCCACGCTACAGTGCAGTGGCGTGATCTTGGCTCGCTGCAACCTCTGTCTCTGGGTTCCAGTGGTTCTCCTGCCTCAGCCTCCTGAGTAGTTGGGGTGACAGCTATGTGGCACCATGCCTAGATAATTTTTGTATTTTTAGTAGAGACGGGGTTTCACCATGTTAGCCAGGATGGTCTCGATCTCCTGACCGCATGATCCTCCTGCCTCGGCCTCCCAAAGTGCTGGGATTACAGGCATGAGCCACCGCACCTGGCTGAAGTGGGGTTATTTATAAAGCTGTGATCAGGGTTAAGGGAAACTGATGAAGAGTGGCGAGGCACCTGGAGCGAGCGGGAGCGGGAGCTGATGCCATTAGGGGAGGCTAATGACAAGCTGTAACCTTTGGTGGAGGAACAGGGACACATTGGAACCACTCAACAGGGAGAGATCAGGGCGATGAACACCCTGAACGCCTGCTCTTGGAGCCCTTTGATTTCCTACAAGTGAATTCCATTGGCCATACGTATGGCCACTTACCAGGATGACTTTCCTCAATGCACAGTCACCGTGGTAAGTGGCCACAGGTCCCCTTGGAGACCACTGAGAGAAAGATGAACAGTGTACATTTTTGACAGTGTAGTAGGGCTCTTCCTCAAGGAGATCCAACCTCCCCATCATTTAATGGGTTTGGGGTATATAACCTAGCTCATGTCTGGGAAATAATTGAGGGACTGTTACTCTCTATTTTGCTAATTCAAGTTAGACGTCTAATTATACAACATGGAACTCTGCTTGCACAGATCAAGTCAGAATTTAGTAGATTGCTTATCTACTTCTTTTCTAGGGACATCATGATGAACTAGACAGTGCCAAAGTTCCCTGTGAGTTCGACTATTCTGGCTGACATTTTGACACCACTGTTCATAACAGCAGCCATATCCACCTTGCCTTTGACAATAAGTATGGCCACTCAGACCTCACCGTCCTGGGATCCAACTATCTGCATTGCATTTTGGGATCCCAGTTTGATGGTAGCCGTTTCCATCGTCATTTCTGACCTGCAGAAAGGAATTACTACAGAGCTCTCAAGGACTCTGGAGCCCTCCTCACCAATTTATTTCTCATAGTCATGATAAAAGGTGTATTGTTTGGACCCTTCCAGGGTGGGTGAGCAGGTCTTACATGATAAATCCACTCTAATATTCCAGATTCCTTAAGCCTTTGGGTCCCTTCCTCTACAGTATAAGAATAGAGTTCTGGCATTTCAACTTCATTTACTGTGGGTTATCTTTGGACTCATGTTTCAGCTAACCAACCAAATGGAGCCCTTTCTAATCCCTCCAGCTAAAACACGGAGCCCAGAACCTCTGCTCAATGGGCTCATACCAATAAATGCAGCCTGATACAATGCCATGTTCCTTCCATCATTACCCCACATCCTTATATCTATGTCTATGCACATTCCTCACGTTTACGTCAGTATACATTAGAAAAATCATGCAGTTCTTTCAGTGCTTAGTGTACCTTTTGTTGTATGGGGTGCTTTATCGTCACTCTTTGGGACCTGCTGGAATTTGAGTCTAGTTATGGGTCTAGAAGCAAAGAGGAGTGGTAGAAGTGGGTCCTGAGGAGAATTGGTGGGGTCTTGTTAGAGGACCTTGGGAGAGGCCATTACAGGGTTCTACAGAAAAATCAGGGTTAACCTCCTCAGAGAGGGTGGAAGGGCTACTTCTGCTGGCAAACAAGACTCAGCAGAATTTAGGGGTTTGATACCCCCAACTTCACTGGCATCTTCCCGTATGTCCCCATTCCAGTTTTTTAGGATACCATTCATTTTCAGTCAGTTCTCTCACTTTAACACAAGACCAGTCTGCAAGGCTAGGCATTCAGGTGCATTGCAATGCAGTCGCTTTGGGTTTGGTGTTCAGAAATCTCAGCCCTGCAGCTACAGGAGATAAGGATTTCTTTCAGGACAGACATAGGAGTTTTTCTCTTTTTCTTTCTCTCTCTCTTTCTTTCTTTCTTTCTTTCTTTCTTTCTCTCTTTCTTTCTTTCTTTTCTCTTTCTCTCTTTCTCTCTTTTCTTTCTTGTCTCTTTTTTTTTTTTTTTCTTTTTTTGACAGAGTCTCACTGTCGCCAGGCTGGAGTGCAGTGGCGTGATCTTGGCTCACTGTGACCTCCACCTCCCGGGTTCAAGCAGTTCTCCTGCCTCAGCCTCCCGAGTAGCTGGGATTACAGGTGCCCACCACCACGCCCAGCTAATTTTTGTATTTTTAGTAGAGACAGGGTTTCACCATGTTGGCCAGGATGGTCCTGATCTCTTGACCTTGTCAGGATCTGCCCACCTTGGCCTCCCAATTTTTTTTTTTTTTTTTTTTGAGACAGAGTCTCACTCTGTTGCCCAGGCTGGAGTTCAGTGGTGCGATCTTGGCTCACTGCAACCTCTGCCTCCCGGGTTCAAGCGATTCTCCTGTCTCAGCCTCCTGAGTAGCTGGGATTACAGGCGCCTGCCATCACACCCAGCTAATTTTTGTATTTTTAGTAGAGATGGAGTTTCACCATGTTGGCCAGGATGGTCTCAAACTCGTGGCCTCACGTGATCCACCCACCTCGGCTTCCCAAAGTGCTGGGATTACAGGCGTGAGCCACCGCGCCCAGCCCATAGAAGCTTTCAGTTCATTTATGCAGAGTTTAAGCTGGGAAAGTGAAAGCCTAAACTCATCCCTTTCTTTCCCCACTTTCTCCAGCAACCAGTGAATATTTATTGTACTCCTCAGTTTAACTAAAATGTTCTCAGGTGTCATCAAACACATGGGCACCCAGAACCTTTCCTTTTATATGTGTTTGATTGAGAGTATCCAATGGTAATATTTTGTATATCTCTATTGCCACATCATGCTATGGAGTACCTAAATGCCCCCTTGGCCACTGGAAATAGATTTAAGATTCTGTTCCTGGCCAGGCGCGGTGGCTCAAGCCTGTAATCCCAGCACTTTGGGAGGCCGAGACGGGCAGATCACGAGGTCAGGAGATTGAGACCATCCTGGCTAACACGGTGAAACCCCGTCTCTACTAAAAAAAAATACAAAAAACTAGCCGGGAGAGGTGGCGGGCGCCTGTAGTCCCAGCTACTCAGGAGGCTGAGGCAGGAGAACGGCGTGAACCCGGGAGGCGGAGCTTGCAGTGAGCTGAGATCCGGCCACTGCACTCCAGCCTGGGTGACAGAGCGAGACTCTGTCTCAAAAAAAAAAAAAAAGATTCTGTTCCTGTCTTCTAGTACCAAAATTTGTATCAGTCAGCATCCCGTGAGAGAAACAGAATTAGTAGGAGGATATGTAGAGTACTAAGAGATTTTTTTCACTTTTTGTGGGTACATAGCAGGTGTATGCGTTTATGAGGTACATGAGGTATTTTGATACAGGCATGCCATGCATAATTACCATGTCAGGGTGAATGGAGTATTCAACACCTGGAGCGTTTATCCTTCATGTTATAAACAATCCAATTATATTCTTTTAATTATTTTTAAGGTACAATTAAATTATTATTGACTGTGGTCACCCTACTCTGCTATCAAATACTAGGTCTTATTCATTCTTTTATTTTTCGTACCTATTAACCATCCTTACTTCTCCCCCACCCCCACGACTCTTCCCAGCCTCTAGTAATCATCCTTCTACTCTCAATCTCCAGGAATTCAATTGTTTTAATTCTTAGCTCTCAGAAATGATGAGAGCATGCAGACTTTGCCTTTTTGTGCCTGGCTTATTTCACTCCACATCATGACTTCCAGTTCTATGTATGTTGGTGCAAATGAGCATTTTTTGAATGGCTGAATAGTACTCCATGGTGTAAATGTACCACATTTCCTTCAGCCATTCATCTGTTGAGGGACTGTTAGGTTGTTTCCGGATCTTGGCTATTGGGAATAGTGCTGCAATAAACATGAGAGTGCAGCTGCCTCTTGGATACATGGATTTCCTTTCTTTTGAGTAGATACCCAGCAGTGGGATTGCTGGATTGTCTGGTAGCTCTATTTTTAGTTTTTTGAGGAACCTCCAAACTGTTCTCCATAGTGGTTGTACTAACGTCCATTCCATACATTAGCAACAGTGTATGGGAGTTTCCTTTTCTCCACATCCTCGCCAGCATTGCTAACACCTCAGTTTCAGACTCTGGCCTCAGTGACAGAATAAATTTTTGCTGTTTTAAGCCACCGGGTGTGTGGTGATTTGTCATGGTAGCCCTGGGAAACGAGTACATGGCCACGCAATCTTTCTCTGATACTTTGAGTCTCGAGGGTACATGAGATGGATTGGGCTGGGCCCAGGGCCACTGCAAGGCATGGGAGAGTGTGTTTAGGGAATCAAGGGACGTAGGTCATGGCCCTGGTGCTTGTGGTCAGCAGGTTCGCAGATTCCTGGGGGCAACTGTTGGGTCTGAAGGGTCCCTGGCTACCTTCTCCATTCATGGATGGGCTCTGGGAGCTGGGCCTCAGGAAAGGCAGGGGGAGGGGTGGTCAGGAGAAGCTCAGAGGCGGTCCAGCTGGGGCCTGAGAGCTTTGGACCTATCTGCATGGGGAGTGAAGACGAGGTGGCCCTGAAAGGCTCTGCAGTTCTTTACCAAGATGGAAAAACAGCTCCTCCCTAGAAAAACTGTTTCCACCACATCGGGCCATTAGTTAAAAACTGCCCAGTTAG